CTGTTTTATCCCCTTGTATGAGTTTGTAATGGTTTGACTCTCTTTATAAAGTGCTTCCTGACTCCCCCGTCTCCAAACTTTGAGGCCTGCAGCTCTCTGTTTACAAGCCTAGTAGAAAGAAACTGTTTTGATTGGTTGTTTGGAAAATGTGGTGTGTTTGTGGAAATGGGAAAAATAGGTTTCATGGTGCAGTCACACACTTCCTGGTCACAAGTTCTGTAAATGCGCATATTATGGCAAAAATAATTAATCACTAAATGTGGTTTTAACATTACTTTTATAAAGTTTGAAGTCCGTGCTGTCCAATCCAGCTCACTGTTTTTTACAGAAGCCCTGTGAAAGCATCACAGCTTTGCCGATCTCAGAGTGTTAAAAGAAAAAAAAATTCACGTATCTGCATCGTGATCYRRAACATCACCAAAATTTAAAGGTGTGTTCCTTGGCCCAGTACCCACATGTGTTAAAAATGTCATGACAATCCGTCCACAAGTTTTTGAGTAATGTTGTCCACATACAGAACGACAGACATACGTGACCGAAAACATTGCCTCGCCCTTGGCGGAGGTAAAAAGAACCTGAGGAGATCTCAGGGATGTACCAGACTTGGCATATAAGATAATGCTCAAATAATGAGTATATAACAACTGACAGGATATATGGACTGAACCAGGTGAGGAAACCTGGGCTAAACACAGACTGGGAACCAGGTGAGAGTGGGTGGAGCAGAAATGAGTAATGGCACAGGGAAAACACAAAAACTAAATAATAACACGAGGAACAGAACCAAAGATAAAAAATCAGAAGATAAATATGAACCTAATTCATCCATTTATTTCTTCCTGTGCCAATGACTCATTTGAAAACCTTCCAGCAACAGATGCTCGGTTTGTTTGTTTATTTGTTTGCATGGTTTTTCGTTTTCAGAGGCTGCTAATGGGGTGAAGACAGAAATATAAGTCTGTTTCAGTTTCAAAGTGTTGACGCCTGCTTGGTGAATCTATTTATTATTATGAGTTACTGGGAGGGAGGGGAGGGAGAAGCCTCTCCAGCCAGTGGATTGTGTCAAGTACAAGAAACAGACAGGAAGTTGAAACAATCCTGCCTTCTAAATAAAATGTCTCATCGGTGGCACTGATGATCATTCATAAACTCTTTTTTCTATGGTATATGGTGTACTGTATACGCATTATTCATGAGTTTCTGGTAATATAAACGCTATAATATAGTATCTTAAAGTGTACTTTGTTTTTTAAAATACCTAAATAGAATAGTTCAATTTTAGCGTTTGCTCATTTGAGTTTTTAGATTCAGTTTCAGCTTTTTACCAAGATTGCTTGTTTGCTTTTAGCTGCTGTTTTGTTAATTTCAGGTTAACGCCTAATATTCTGCCAACTTGAACTTTTACTTACAGTTTTGTTAAATTTAGCTTTTAGCTTCTGTTTTACGAATTTTAACTTGATGTATGTTTGATGTTTGATGTTTGATGTTTGATGTATTTATTTAACACATAAGAAGTAAAACAAAGAATACAACAACAATTCAAAATGACATATTTCACGTGCAAGGGAAGGGTAAAAGCCTTATGTAAAATCCACTCCCAATCAAATCAAACACAACAGTAAAAACCATAAAATAGACATAACCACACAAATAAAAATAACAAATTAATCTATTTTTATACACAAAAAGAGATACTGAAGGTTCCACAAGTTCTACATTAGAAGTCCACATCTTAGCTCCATAAAATCTAACTGAAAACTGGTCATGCAATGATTTGTATAATAGAAGATGCAAATGAAAAGATTGCCTAGTAGGATAATTAAGAATTTGTGAGTTCATATGAAAATAGCTTTTAATATAGGAAAGCCAATTTGAACTCTGAACACAAATGTACAAGTAAGAAATTAATTTATATCAAAAACATTCAACAGTTTTAATTTATAAAACAAAGGTGCACTAGGGGTATCAAATTTTGAGAAGGTAACTATTCTTACAAACTTTTTGTGTAGAATAAATGTTTTGTTCAGATGAGTTGGAAATGTAGCTCCCCAAACAATTTTACAATAGGTGAGATCAGAGCCGGCTCTTGGCATAGGCGAACTAGGCGGTCGCCTAGAGCGCCATCTGCTGGAGGGGGCGCCGAACTGCAGAAGAAGAAAGTAATTATTTGTAATCCCTGGTTGTAACTCTGCTCAGCGCCCCTTTCAATTAGCTTTGTCTTTAAAAACTATAATGAAGTATTACAGGAAAAATAAACCACTCTACMCATAAAACATCCCGCCCCCAATGCAGCAAACGCCTCCACCCTCTCTCTCATTTGATTGACGTTGCACTGACTCGTCCTGCTCCGACACGCTGACRGGGGAGGGGCTAGTTGTGCCTCTCAGGTAGCGGTTCGTGTTGACAAACTCAATAACAACAAGTCTGTATTTTGTTGTCCCATACATGTCAACCTCTTTGGACGTTTACCTGTATAAAAAGCCTCAAAAATCCGTAAATTTTGCAAAAAGTCCATACAACTCGCACCCAAATAAATCTAAGTTTACCATAGTAACTCACACTGTCAAACTTGTTTTTAGGGGTTCAAATTGGGGGGAGTGGGACATAGTTTGGGGGGG